CCCCAAAACCCCAAAACCCCAAAACCCCTAATAAATTTTAGAAATTGAAAATAATGCAACCCATGAAAAAATATAGCAGACCAGGAAAAGTAAACTATATACGTCCAAGACCATTAATGAAGGTATGACAAGTTAAAAATAACTCTTTATAGAATTCTGTCAGATTTAAAGTAGAAAAGGTATTCATCAGATGACAAACAATATTTACCATCTTGAATTTATCAAAAATGGTCTTATAGAAATCAAAATAAAGAAGAAGTTGCTATCCCAAAATCGTATAAGGCTACTAAAGAAGAGAAGAAATTAGATCTTAAGAAGATATACCCAGAGTATATGACATTTGTTTCGTAAGATATCACGCTGACAACCAAAATATTCATCAACTTTAGAAATCAATATCAAGACTGCGAAGAGAAGACTATTTACAATTGGAATATTATTGCTAATTTGTATGCTTAGGCTCATTTCATATAGTATTTTAAAAGCCAACTTTGAGAAGTACAAGGTAACTTATTAAATTTAATATTTAGTCGGCTCCTCCAAGAAAGAAATAAAGAGTCCTCAAAATTTATTAGAGAGGATTTGATAACGACCAGTTCAAAATCCAATAAAGTTAAAGTCTTCAGTCCAGAAAAGTCATCATTCTCAACTGGCAAATGTACTGCTTGCAGCTAAAATTTAGTAAATCTTGACCATAAGATCTCTAACTTTCTCAAGCAAGGTAATAATGTGTTATGATATGCATAGAGGAAAGAGAAAAGCTAATTCAAAAGTCCTTCAGATTGTAATTATGGTAGATAATCTCTAGGAGCTCATTCCATGCCCACAACTTCTTGGTATATATAGTGCATGATTCTTTAGAAAGAGAATGGTAGCCAACATGCTTAGAAAGATTCAGATTAAAAAAAAGATTCCTATACTCTCTGCTCAATTTGGATCATTTAAATAAACTTTTATAGTTTGAATATTTTAACAAAACCAGGTGATAGTCATATTTTATAGTTGATAAACTTCCAACTATGACAAAGATGCCTTCAAATTGACTCGAAACCAATGCTTCAGAAATTCTGAAGAGGATGAAAAGAAGACTAAGGTTACAAAGTCCTAAGCCGTAAGGATTTTCCCTATTTTATTAGAAGAAGGAATCCGAAGACTTCAACCTTTTCAGAATTAAACCCTAGAATGCCCAGTGTTGAGAGGCTGGTGCCATCGAACTTTCAGTCTTTTAAAGGTAATTTCAACAAGAAAACTACTTTATCTAAATCTCATGTCTTGTTGATTAGAAATGGCTAAGAGAAAATAACGATAGTGAAGGATATAAAAGATTAATCAAGTCTTTCTGAATTAGAAGCCAACTCCCCCTGTAAGCATTCTCAAATATTCATAAGTTTGGATATATATCCCTTATATTTTATATGAAAATAACATGAAATGTTTGCCAGAGTTTTGTCTCTTCTTCATTTCAGAAAGTTTAATTTTAATGAATTGAGAGTTATTTTTTGCAAATAGAGATAAAGAGAAAACAAAACAGACATGCAATGAAAAGTCCACAGGAGATTTACTCAACCACCCTGAATTTCGGGAGATTAGTAAGTATTTTCCAATTATTTCTAAAATATTGTCTAAATAAAGTACCCTGTACAGATAGATCATGTATCAATAGACAAGGCGAAAACTTGTCAAAGCTTTCAGGATCAGTCTTTTCAGATTCAAAGCATCACATGAACAGTAAAGCAAGGAAGAGATTTCTTAGGAATAACAAATTTTTAAGAACTAATATCGCAGTGTAGCATGAACATTTTCATATTTAGGAGTCCTACACAGCAAAGAAGTACAATGAAATCACCAATCACTTGATTGAAATCTCATATTATGATTGGAGCTAAAACCTCAAAAGCAAGAGATAGCGTAAGCCTTTTGTATAAATATTGAAGATGATGATGGAAGATCAAAAAGATAAAGAAAAATGGTTCAGAGTATACAATAAGAAATTATAACTCTATCGCTATCGATTCCCCAGGGGTTTTGGGGTTTTGGGGTTTTGGGGTTTTGGGG